TTCAAGCAATGCAACTTGGCAAAACTACAGTTTTTCTTTGGCACATGCTTTGATGTTTAGCTCGATAGGAATAGGTCAAGTTCAGCAGTCCATCTCTATTTGGTATGTCCCACAGGCCAGCCTTTATCCCTTTTCTCCTCTCCAGACATTCTCTCTTGAACTTACTGTCCTCCTCTTTCTTCTTACATCTTTCTCACTGATGTCCTCAACTTTTATTTGGTCTCTCCATCTTTCAGGAGAAACATCTGCTCTCTACTTGCTCTGTTCTCCTCTTCCATCTTTTGAAAGGAATGAGTGGTTCTAGCCACACTGCCTTCTGGTTCTTTCCTGCCCAGGATAAGGAGCTGCTAAAGGCTCCAAAATCCCTTCATGCCAGGCTGACACTCTTAATTTCCTTATTCTTTTAAATATATTCGGCCTGCTGCTGTTCACTTTTATTTGTATGTCTAAGGGATTTTCCATTTCCTTTTGCAAAGCTAACCCATCAGTGTACAAAGCAATAATAGATGCATCATAACTTTGTTATTGTAGGGAGAGGCAAAGATTTCCTATCTTTTACTGGAACAACTCTGTAGTTGGGAAGAAGTCAGGCAAGGTTTTGAATGCAAGGCATTCTTTGTCAGGTCTCAGATCATGGGAAGCTTGGTTCAGGATAGTGAAACAGCAGAGGGGAGAGGCTGAGAGAAATTCTCTGGGGTAGCAGACACAGTTAGCAGAAGAAAAGCTGATTACTGGGAGATCAAGGCCTATCAAAAGGGAAGAGGGTCATTCTTACCTTCCTTGTGTGGAAAGAATTCAGGATTTGGGTAAAATATAATGCTCCATAAACCCGCTAACAATATTTAGTCCTTGGTTCTTCATATCCAGCCAGCTTATGAATTTTTGTTCCCAAGTTCACTTTTTAAAGGTATTAAGTAGAGTGTTGGGTAGATTTCCTTTGAGCAGGAGGATTGCGAGGTCAGAGAGGGAGTGGTTGTTAACAATGTTGGCACAGTTAGGTGTACCAAGATTTACAAGATGAACCCATACATTTCAAATAGGAATCCATAGTGTTTAAAGTTTTCTGGCCTGTTTTGGTTTTTCTGATTTCTTTACAACAGAATTGCTTTATTATTTTTGTGTGGTCAAAAATCAAGTGAAAATGAAGAGGTGGCATTTTCTAGGGTGTGCCTTGAGTCTAAAAAGGCTGAGAACTACAGGTCCACCAGGGCCCAATTCCAGCATGCAGGGAATGGGAGGGGATGGTGCTGGGTCCCTAGGGCACAATTTTAGCACGAGGCAAGGAGGGGTCAGTGCTGGGCCCTAGGGCTTGCAGACAGGCCTTATGCCACTTATCTTGCCCATGAGGCCAAAAGTTTGAGCACCAATGAACTAAGGAAATATGAATCCAGCTCATGGTACATTTGTCTAGTCTGTAACTGGTTGGGTTGTCATAGTTAATGAGCAGTTATCAGTAGCTCAGTGTTTGCTTGGAGGAGGTATCAACTATGGTTCCCCAGGGGTCTGTTCTGGGTCTGGAATTCTTCAACTTCTTTGTTAATGATGTGGATGATAGGTTTGTGTGCATGTTTAACAAAACTGCGTGACACCAAGTTTGGTGGAGTGACACATAGCCTAACCTGTAAGGCGAGGATCCACAATGACCTGTATAAACTGCAGAAATGATCTGAAATCAGAAGAAATTCAAGAAGTACAAATGCAAAGTCCTGCATTTGGGATTCAATAATTGCATACACATATACAGGCCGGGGAAGGATTGACTAGGCTGCAATTCTTCAGAGAAGGACCTGGGGATTACAGTAGAACATAAGCTGTATAGGAGCCAATAGCATGCTCTTGTTGGAAAAAACGCCAATAGCATATTGGGTTGTATGAACAGGAGTGTCACTTGCAAATCAAGGGAAGTGATTTTACTATTCTATTCAGCATTGGTGAGGTCTCATTAAGAGTCCTGCCTCCATTTTGGGGCCCTCAACTTCAAGTAAGATGTAGGCAGATTGGACAGTGTCTAGCGAAGATGCCTCGGTGCTGCCTCTGTTGGGGTGGGATGGGGTGTCCATCTGCTTGTCCCAGGGCTTGCCCACCCACTGGAAGCCTCCAGCACAGGGGCCCTGCACAGTACCTGCCCAAGCCCTGATCCCGCAGCTCCTTCCAGGGGCTAAGCCAGGCTGGGGCATAGCCCAGGGATAGGGTGTGGGGTCAGCAGAAGACAGACTGCAACATTGATTCTAAGAAGAGGTCCCCGACCATTCAGTGGAATATATGGGCAGAGGGCAGGCGGCTGCTGTGGCTTGGGCTCCAGTCCCTACCTGAGATTGGGGCCTTAGCCACAGCTGCTGTCTGCTCCCTGCCCACTGCCTCTGCACCCTGCCATCTCTGCCCTGCAATCACCTATCCCATCTCCACCCCCTCCCCCGTGAAGCCTCTACTGCCCCGTCTGCCCCTCTTTCTCCCCCACCTTTACCTTAGCTCTGCATCAGCAGGCTCCATGCATGCTGCAACCCAGGGCACAGAGCACAGGCCCATAGCAGCAGTGTGCAGCCCATAGCTGCTGCAGGTGCCAGACTGGGGCTGTGCTCTGTGCCCCAGGCCAGAACAGGTATGGAGACAGCTGTCATGAAGCATGCGTAAGCAGGAAGGGAGGGGGCATGGTAGAGGCTGGAGGGTACAGAGGATGGGAGGGTACAGATTTGGGGAGGGGAGAGCAGACCTGGGGGAGAGGAAGGGAAGAGCAGAGGCCTGGAGGAAAGGGGTTGTGGGGGGCCTGAGGCTGCCAGGGGGCAGGTTGCAGGGAAGCAGGTACAAGCAGGAGACAAACTGTCTTTCCCCATTGCCTGCCTTATTGCAGTGGTGTGCGGGGGTGGGGGGAATTAAAGATGAACATGAATTCTATATATGAAAAATTGTAACAACTTTATACATTTTCCATGTATAAAATCTAATTATTAGATTTATTAGGGTGTTGTCTTAAAATCAGGGTCATCTTAGATTCAAGTAAATATAACATATCTTTTGAAAGGGGAGAAAAACCACTTAATGCATTTGAATTGTAGGAAGTCAGGGTGGTGTGAGTTAAAAATAAAGACTTAACAGTGTCCAATAACCTTTGAAATCCAGCACAGATGATTTGGGTGGGTGGGGAGATGGTTAAGACTTTTGCATATAGTAATTTACTGAGCAGGGCTTGTTGAGGAGCATTACCACGATTTCATTGTCTGTTCAGTGAAAACTCCTTCAGTCCAAATATCTGACTGATGGCAAGATATGTGAATAAAGCTTGAGTGAGAATGTTCTTAAGTGTGTTAGTTATTTATCAAACATTTCTTTTAAGTCTCGTTTCCAAAAATGTATTAAAAGTTATGATAGTGTTGGAGTGATGTTGTATCCGTGATGGTACAGAAAAATGCAAGAGGCAAAGGTTTTTATAGGTAGTATCTTTTTTTTTTGGACCACCTTAATAGTTCAGAGGGATATAGCTTTTTGGATACCACTGTACCATTTCTTGCAATTGTTTTGGAGTAACAACCAAAGAATTGTTACTGAAAATGATACAAACTCTTATGTTCTTGGGGTTGAGGAGAGACTTAAAAGGCCTTCTTATGCTTTATGTACATTTTTACAGTGAGGCATTAAATGGATTTTGATTGAGCTTTCTGTTTTCTTGTGATATTGTCTAATGTATTAACATTTGGAAACCTATACTATAAAATATAGTAATATAATATTTTGTCTTTGCAGAGGGTTGTCCTGTGTTGTTTTATGTGCCCTTGAACTTTAATATAAAAGATTTACAAGCAAAGAATGGTTATCTTTTATCTTTTCTTCAATATATTGCTATATTATAATACTTCATTTCATTGCCAGATTTCCACAATAATATCACAGATTGCATATTTTGTAACTGGTGGTATTAACAAGCTTTTAAAATTTGGTGAGATTGGAATGAGAAAAGATGTGAAATATGATGGTTTCTGCATTGTCCTTTAATCTGCAAAGCAATTGAAATTAATCAATCTGTATTTGAGGAAATTATGAAATATTTATTTAGGGATCTTTGTTATTGAATACTTCATTGTATTGTTTTCACCAATATAAATTTTCAAAATCACATGAGCAGTTCTGGTTCTTGTGACTTCTACAACTCATGATATCTGAAGAACAGTTTACTTAAATAACTATGCATCTAAGGAGGCAAAGTAGGATGATTTGGAGATGTATGTTGAACAATAAGATTTTTTTTTCCCTTGGGAAATTTTCTTTTAATTTAGTCATTTAAAAATAGAACTATGTTTAACGTGTGAATCCTCTTCAGTTTGGTGTAGGTGAAGTTGGAAAAGATTGCTGTACTTGTAAATGGTGTACATTTAATTAATTATAGTCAGAAATACTAATTATACTTGGAAAACTAAATTTTACCTTTAAGTCAGTAAAATAGACGTTAGGACAGTGTGTTAAATGCAGTTTAGGTCAATTGCATTTATGACTACTAGATTAAATTCATCCAAAAAAGGACTCTTTAGAAAGTTATAGCTGTTTAAAAAATTAACACTTATGAACAGAGGTAATATGAAATATATAAACTTGAGCTTAAATATCTATTATTTCTCAACTGTTAAGTGACTCTGGATGAAAACTGCACAGGGACTGCAAGATGATAAAGTTAATGTAGGAAATAGTGTACTATTTCAACTTGCTCTAATTCTTTTTGAAATGTTGTGCAATTCACCTGTTGTGTCCAGTTTGTCCTGCACAGTGAATAAAACCAAAACAAGAAGAGTTTAGGTAACGCTCATCTTTGATAAAATGCATTCTTTTGATGATCATAGACTTGTTTCTTGGTTTTTTTTAATTTTGTTTTTACTGTTGTATTGCTGCTGCTACTTCACTATTTTTTTGCTCATTTGTAACAAAATTAGTGTGTCATCTAGAAACAGTGTTATATTATTTCTACAAATTGTAATGACTGTCACTGAAACATAACAGTGTTTGCTGTGTTACAGAGGAACCCAAGCTAAGACACGTAGAAAAAGATGTTTTGATTCCAAAAATTATGAGAGAGAAGGCCAAGGAGCTGTGTTCAGATAAAGTGCAAGGTAAGATTCAAATATTCATCTGAAGATCAAATCTATTCAATTATGTGACCTGAATTTAATCCTTTGGCTCAGAGTCAAATAGTTGCTGAATTAATATGTATGATTTGCATTTCATTCATTCCATGTGAAACAAGTATTACAGTATCCAAAACTCAGATTTGTTTCAGCTGCTTTATAGTGTTCATTAAAATTTAGCAACAAGGTGGTTGCACGTGAGCGGCCAAGGGGGGGGAGCAGGGAGGGACTTTCCGAAACTTTGTCTAGAGTCAACAGTGGAATAATAGAAAGACCACACCTATAGTCTCCCCATAATTCTGTTCAGCATTTCTCCAATTAAAAATAGAATTCCCATAGATAAATCAGTTCACAAAGGGCTTCTTAATATACTCTTGCTTTAAAAAAGTTTCATGCAATTGTGTTCTCTTTTTTACAGATTTTGTTCATGACAAGTATGAGCTGTTTAAAAAAATTGTGATAGTTGGGTATTTTTTGTGATGAGAAGGTTGTGGTGACTTGAGACAGTAGTTACAAAAGCAAACATTTTTTAGTTGCTTCATTTACTTAAAAAAACCCCTTTATTTAGGGACTGACTGAATTTGGGGGGCTTGTGTGTAGTTGGGAAGTCTCCCCAGATACAACTAGGATATATCCAAATGAGAAACTGCAAACCGAACAAGTAATATAGGATTGTTTGAAATCACTAAGCCTGGCTATGGAACCATTTGTGAAGTGTCAGAATGATGGCTGTAGTTCACTACCTGAAAATCTCAGAGGTGAATACATCAGAGGAATGAAAGACTTTGTGGAAGCCTGAGCGTAGCTCTTATACATCTTGCCATGAGTTCTCTTAGTAAACTTTGACCAAAGTGAGCTCACTATGTTCCACTTAGTTCCCATAGCAAGAAAGAAGACCCAAAGAAGAATAGTCTTTAGGGGGAGTTCTAGGAATCTATAATTTAGAAAGACATCATCAGCACTGTTGGATAAATTGTGTACAAAGAGGTAATCCAGGCAGTCTGATTAGGGAAAGAGACAGAGGTGATAGACTATAGGAAGTGAGAAGAACTGCAATAGTTATTTAAAAAAAACCCAGCAAAAATACAAGACACAGATAACCAATATTACAGCAAAAGGAAGTAAAAAATTAACTCAGTGAAACTGGGCAAATGCTACAGAGATGGACACTGTGACAAATTCTATATTTAGGGCCCTACCAAATTCATGGTGGAAGTGTGGTGCACTGTAGCTTCTTTAGTCTTGCAGGTTTCTTCACATGTCCCCTGTCGCTGATTGGTGGAGGGACCCTGCTTGTGACTTGCTTCTGATTGGCACGCAAGCCGTAGTTTTAAACATGATGTCGTTTTTTGCCTCTCCACTGGTCAGCAGCAAGTAGCAGGGCTGCCAGGGCTTCTTGGCCACTCAGCAGCAGGAGGCAAAAACAGTGCCGTACTTAGAACAACGGTTTTCACTTCCCTGCTGATCAGGCATGATATTTTCCCTGCATCAACTTCAATAACAGTGCAGAGAGCAAAACCAACCATTGTAAATCACCTTCATGGATCTTACCAAAGCATTTGACACAGTCAGTAGAGCAGGCCTATTCACAGTCCTAGAAAAGACCTGATGCCCACCAATCCTGTGAAGTGTTATGTATTCCTTCCATGACAACATGAAAGCAGTTCTTCAGTTTGATGGGTCCACTTCGGACAGCTTCAAGGTGAAAAGCAGAGTAAAGCAAGGATGTGTTTTTGCTCCAGCAGTCTGGAATCTTCTCGGGATGCCTGAATTCCATGTTTAAAAACATGGAAGGTGGAGTATACCTCCACACAAGATTGGACAGGAAACTCTTCAGCCTGTCACAACTTAAGACAAAAACTAAAGTTAGAAAGGTACTTATCAGGGAGTTTCTATTTGCTGATGATTCTGTCCTTACAGCTCATGAAGAAGACCCACTACAAGAACTTATGGATTGCCTCTCAAGAGCTTGCCAGGCATTTGCTCTTACCATAAGCATAAAGAAAACAGTTGTACTAGGACAGGGAGTTCCACAAGACCCATCAATCATCCTTAATGAGAACCAGCTAGCAGTAGTCCAAAAGTTCAGCTACCTAGGTCCTGCAGTGACTATAAACCTCTCACTGGATGAAGAACTTAATGTTCACATTGAAAAGGCTGCCACCACCTTCAGCAAACTAACTAAAAGAGCATGAAAAAACTCAAAGCTTACTATCAAGACCAAAATGCTAGTGTACAAGGCTTGCATACTCAGCACTCTCATGTATGGTGGGGAGACATGGACAGCTTATGCACATCAAGAAAAAAGGTTAAACAGCTTCCACCTGCACTGTTTATGCTATATACTCAATAGGCCTGTGCGAAGCAGCAAGTATTCACTTTGGATTTGGATTCCGCCAATTCAGAGGGACAGTGATTTGATTCAGAGATCTGGCCATAGACTATAATGGGGAATCACTAAAATACCTATAACTTAGTCATTTTTTTGCAGAGTCAGATAAAAACAGCCTGGATGGTAGCCCCTTCTGAAGGCATGAAGCCTGCCAAGTTTCAAGGAGATAGGTGCAGGGATTTCTATGAAAGTGCACCTCAAGGTTCTGAAAACAAAAAGAGGCGAATAGGTGCAGAGTGAGAAGGGTGGCACTCATTCTGTCTGCACGTGGAGCTTGGGGAACCCCCAACAGCAGAAGGTTCACCAGCTGCTCCACCTAACCAGGATTTAAGGTGGGGTGGGGTGTCACAACATCCGCAACAGGAACACTGGGCAGTGTACAGGACTGGTGTTCCTGGGAAACTGTGGCCAGATCCTGCTACATCTGGTTATGTGTTACCCAGTGGGCTATTTTGAAATGAGCTGGCTGGTCATAGTTTCATAGTTTCTAGGGTCGGAAGGGACCTGAGCAGATCATCTAGTCCGACCCCCTGCCATGGCAGGAAAGGGTACTGGGGTCAAACGACCCCAATAAGGTGGTCATCCAACCTCCTCTTAAAAACCCCCAGGGTGGGAGCCTGCACCACCTCACTTGGAAGCTGGTTCCAGACCCTAGCCGCCCTGACCGTGAAGTAGCGCCTCCTGATGTCCAACTTAAACCTTCCCTCC